TTTGTAGACCAGACTGACCTCAAACAGAGATCCACCTGCCTCTGCTTCTTGAGTGCTGGGATTAAAGGCATGTGCCACCACCACCCAGCTCCCCAGCATCTTTTAATAGGGTGTTTTGTTGTTGTTGTTCTTTTTGGTTTTGAATGAATGGTAGGAAACTTAGAGCGACTAAATGTCAACATAATAAATAAATCTATATGATGTTTACCCTTATTTGTTTAATAAAGTAACACCATACTTTGGAGTGTTTTGAACTCTTTTTATTTTATTATTTAAAAGATTTTATTATGTATACAACATTCTGCTTCCATGTATATCTGCACACAGAAGAGGGCACCAAATCTCATAATAGATGGTTGTGAGCCACCATGTGGTTGCTGGGAATTGAACTCAGGACTTCTGGAAGAGCAGCCAGTGCTCTTAACCTCTGAGCCATCTCTCCAGCCCGAGTGTTTTGAACTCTTAAAATGAATGTGGATATTGAGTCCCAGTGTTGGAAAAACTAATTTAGAAACTACTTGCAATTATTTCTTTTAATATATCTTATTTAATTTGAGACAGTCTCACTATGTCACCCTAGCTTGCTTGGTACTCACTATGTAGACTAGGCTGGCCTTGAACTCACAGAGATCCATCTACCTTTACTTCTCTAGTGCTGGGATTAAAAGCATGTCCACTTTTTATTTTAATGTGTGTGAGTAGTTTGCTTGTATGTATGCCTGGTGCCCACAAGGCCAGAAAAGGGCATTGTATCAATCCCCTGAAATTGGAGTTTTAAATGGCTGCCATGTGGGTTCTAGGAACTGAACCCAGATCCTCTGCCAAAAAATTGCTCTTAGTCAATGAGGCATCTTTTCAGCCCCCCCCACCACACACTTTGTTGTTTGTTGTTGTTATTTGGTTTTGTTTCATTTGTTTTTGAGACAAGGTGTCATACAACACAAGCTGGCCTTTTGGGCTTCTAATCTTTACTGCTCCCAAGTGTCGATCCCAGATGTGTGCACCATACCCTACTCAATGAGATTTCTTCATGGAGATCGAAGTATATGTGAAACATTGCAAAGTACTTGTTTGCTTGTGTTTATTTTGATTTTTTTTTTTTTTTTTTTTTTTTTTTTTTTTTTGAGACAGGGTAACTGTGTAGCCCTGACTGGCCTGGAACTCACAGCAACTTGCCTGCTTCTGCCTCCTGGGTGCTAAAGTCAAAGACGTAAGACACTATGGGCTAGATGTTTGAAAAAAGAAAGCTAGTAGACATTTTCCTGAGACATGAAATAATTCAAAACTGTTTGAACTGTAAGTCATGTAGTGTGTAGTATTTTAATAGGTAACAACTTTGAAGTTTTCTGCAATGTTGTAAGGTACTGATTTGAAACAGCATTGATGACTACTAACTGCCATGCTGACTACTAATTGGAGAGTCCTTGTTTAGAGCTGTAATAAAAGGCCTGTTATATTCTGCTTAATGTTTTCACACTATAAACCTTTTACTTCCAGCCGAGTTTTTCCTATTGTGTTAGTACATATCAGTTCTACCCAAGTTTGTTAGGATTACAGTTAGCTGAAATTTCTTTTCACCTGCCAGAATTCTAATGGAAATCATTAAAATTAAAACACAGATGAAAATGTTACCTTTTTTTGGCTACACATGGGAAAGTTTAACAGTAATGAGAGCTAGCATCTGTATCTTGTGCTCACCAAAGAATGAACAAAACATTGTTCTGTTTACACTCCAAAGTGCCCTCACAAAACACTGTCCACCTAGATAGTGAGTTATGAAATCATTATTAGGGTGTGTGTGTCTGAGTCTGTCTGTCTGTCTGTCTGTCTTGCTCTATAGTCTGTGCTGGCCTTGAATGGTCAATCTTCTTACCTCACTCTTAACCAGTGCTAGAAACTCTGGAAAACACACAGCTCTAAAATTATTTGTGTGTCATTTTCAACAGTCTTTAATAAGGAACTGGGGCTGTAGCTTGATTGGTTACTTGCCTGGCATATATGAAGCCCTAGGTTCAATTCCTAGCACCCCATAAACCAGAAGTGTGTTATATTTTTGTAATATTAGCATTTGGGGAGGTACAGACAGGAGGATCAAGAGTTGAGGGCCATCCTGAGTTACAAATTACAAAATAAATTTGAGGTCATCCTGGAATGCAGAAGACTTTGTCTCAAAAAAAAAATATTTAATAAAATATTTGCAGTCTGTCAGGTGGTTATGATGTTCATAAGAAAACCCACTAGCATTCTGACAGTGAGACTTCTAGCCTAATCTCATAGTTTTGCCTTAGATTATTCTATACACAGTTCAGAACCATTGGAGTGCTCAGAGTTCAGGGGAAGTATGAGAGAAGCAGGGCATAGGAAACTGGCATGTTTGTGTCCTGCCAAAAGCACAGTGTTCTGTTTTTCTAGTAACATACGTATTCTGTGATCATCATTTCTTTCTTTAGTGCTTTCTTTTTCTTTTCATGGAATATAACCAAACCATTATTTTACTTGTTTACTGATCTTGTGTTTTTCTGTTTCACTTACTGCATTAAACCTATTTTTGTTTTTTTGTTGTTGTTGGTTTTTTAGTTTTTTTTTTCTTTTCGTTTTTTTAGTTTTTCGAGACAGGGTTTCTCTGTGTAGCTTTGGATTTTTGTTGTTGTTGGTTTTTTAGTTTTTTTTTTTCTTTTCGTTTTTTTAGTTTTTCGAGACAGGGTTTCTCTGTGTAGCTTTGGAGCCTATCCTAGCGCTCGCTCTGGAGACCAAGCTGGCCTCGAACTCACAGAGATCCGCCTGCCTCTAAACCTAGTTTCTGAAACAGTTTCTGGCATGTGATAGACAATAAGTATTTGCTGACTGACAGTTAATTTACTTCACTGACACTCTCATATGTGATAGGTCTTCTGAATCATCTGAAATTCCGGGTTTATTAAATAAGTAGGCTTGACTCTCTTTGTAGGGTGTAGTCAGTTTTGTTTGCCTCAAGTTCTATTCCTACTAGGAAAGCTTCAGAATTTTAACCCCCTTTGCTGGGCTTTATTTAATCTAACACCTTTTTCATGCTGATTATCTCAGCAGTGTAGTGATGGATGTAAGCTATGTTTGCTACATTTATAGCCTCATTTTTTTTCTGTTTTATAACCAGACCCCCCCCCCTTTTTTTTCTTTTTTCATTTATGAAGAGTTTCCCACTAAGTTACAGCTTTGCTGTTCTAAAGCTCAGATCCTGTGACATAACTAAGGCAACTTTTTGTTTTTTAAAGTCAGGGTCTCTCTACATAGCCCTGGCTGTCCTGAAATTCACTATGCAGGCCAAGCTGGCTTCTGACTCACAGAGATCCTCTTGCCTTTGGGGCTCCCACCCTCCAACCCACCCAGTACTAGGTCTAAGGGCATGTGCCACCACTCCCAGATAATAAGACAACTCTTTATATAGCATTTGGAAACATCCTATAATAATGGGGTTTTGTTTACCTTACTACTTAATTCTTACTTTAGTTATTAATAAATCTGCATGATGTCCTAAATTTCCTTTTACTTGATATAATTAGAACAGAGCCTAGGCTACATAAAGAGACAATACCAAAGGAATTTTTCTTTCATGTCTTCCCAATTACTCATTCATGCTCAAGGCATTGCTGTCCTGAGCATACTTAGACCTCACTTGACCAAGGTGTGCCTTTGATTGATTTATCTAGGAATATTTTAAGGTCTGCTTTGTTCCAGCTCCAGAGAGGTAGCAGTGTGTGAAAAAGACAATGCCTTCTTTTGGTATGATTATTTTCATCTTTCCTTGGATTAGAAAGAGAATATCATAGTGAATGAATGAATGGTTGCTGTGGAATTAATAATTAGTAAGACTTAATATATCCCTCCTGGGGAAAAAAATATATATATATAATCACTCCTGTTTTTAAAATAATTCTATTCACTGTCTTAACCAAAAAATCTCATACCAATCAGTCCTTTTCAATTAAGAAAGATTTATTTTGGCTCATGAGTTCAGAATATTCACTAGGTCAAAAGCGAACAGTGCTGATACTCAGGTGGCCACCTCTTTTCTTGTCTGAGCCCCTAAACTAGGCATGGGGGAGTGCCACCCACATTCAGGACAGATCTTCACCCCTCAGTTAACCTCTCTGAAACATCTTCACAGTCATTGAGGTGATTCTAAATCTAAATTCTGCCATAGTAACAGTGAAGATGAACCGTCACAAGTCCACCCTATCAATTTGTACGGCTATGTCCATCTCCATAAATCCCCATAGCTTTAACAGTCCCAACATTGTTCAAAAGTCCAAGAGTCCAGAGTCTCCTTGGAAGCTCAAGGCTAGTCTTACTGTGATGCCATTTGGTTTTGGTTAAAATGGCAAGTTGATAAGAGATTTGGGAGCAGGCTGGCCTTTTCAGCACTCTTTAGAAGATCAGGCAGTTTGTATCCTTTTCTTCAAGATGAATGGAATGTTTTTAGTCTGATTTTCAGGCTCAGGAAGGATCTGCTGCCTCTCTGGATCAAGAACCTGAGCCAAACCACTTCCTTTTCCTTCTCAGATTGTGAGGATTGTAATATGGAATCTGTAGAGCCAATGTGTTCTGAATTGTTCCCATTACAAAGTAAGGTATAGCAGCATGTAATAACAACAGGCTGTTCTGTATAGATTATGTTGTTCCTATTAAATGACCCTTCTCCCCCCCACACACACACACACAAAAAAAAAAAAAAAAAAAAAGGAAGGAAGGAAGGAAAAACTCCCCAAACCTCCCAGTATAGCCACCCCCTTATTATGTGTGTGTGGGGTGCAGGCAATTAAAAAGTGTCTTGAATGTTTTGTCATTCACAATTTGTAGCATGATACTGGCTTTTGTTTTACTATTGGCAATTTAATGCATGCTTTGTAGGATAACCATTGGTGTTCGTTTTGTTATGTACTTGTGTATATGCATATGTTTATATACATACTGTGTGTGTGTGGGTGGGTGTGGGTGTGGGTTCTTGTGGGTGTGTGTGTCTGTTCTTTAAAAGTAAAAAGCATGCTGCTTGGCCTGACTAGCTAATGTGTACCTGTATCTGGTAAACAATCTGTTTCTTTCAAATTCTGACCATCGTGGGATTGAGCTCTCTTTGCTCTGATGAGCCACTTTCAGAAATTATGGCTTCCTCCTTTTCATCTGAAGTACATAACCCTGACCTTACAGCACTGCTTGGAGAAAAAAAGCAAAACATTAGGCAGCCAGCTTATTCTAGCCAAAGAAGGAAAAGACCCCTTGGTTCTTCTAGATATGAAAAAGCTGGATTCATCTCAAGGGACCAATAAGGACAGAGTAGACACTCTGGTTTCTCTTACAGCTGGCAGTCCTTGCAACCACCCTTCCATTCCAGACAGTTTCCCAGAGCAGCCTGCTTTTCTCTCAAAGGAAATTGGTTCAGCAGAAGAGTGGATAGTTAAAGACCAAGAACCCAAGAACCCGAACAAGGTTGCAAGTGAAGAGGACAGACGTGCACTGGATCTTGGGCAGTCTAAGACAGAACACATTTGTACATATTCCTTGTCCCCATCTGAACTTTCAGGAGCTAGTGTCGAAAAAGATTCTCCTGAGTCACCATTTGAAGTAATTATTGACAAAGCAACTTTTGACAGAGAATTTAAAGATTTGTATAAGGAAAACACAAATGATTTGGATGGATGGGCAGCTCACAGTGATAGAGAATCCCCTGCAGACTTATTGGAAATGAATGACAAAGTGTTTCCCTTGAGAAATAAAGAGGCAGGGCGTTACCCAGCCTCTGCACTGCTCAGTAGACAGTTTTCACACACTACAGCAGCACTGGAAGAGGTGTCTAGATGTGTGAATGATATGCATAACTTTACTAATGAAATACTGACTTGGGACTTAATTCCCCAAACAAAACAACAGGCTGGTAAATCATCTTGTACCACAAAAAGTACAGGACTAGACAGGAATGAACATCACTCAGAGATTCCAGTTATAAATCTTAAAACAAACACTCATCAGAAAATGCCCATATGTTCTCCTAATGGAAACACTCCCATCACCAAATCCACAGATGACTGGGCAGAAGCATCTTTCTCTCCAGAAAACATTGCTGGAAAACCTGTAAAAGACTACCACCTCAGCTCCACAAAAGCCAGTGACAGAGGTGTGTCAGGCAGTTCCCAACCACTTCTGGAGCCACCTGGCTCTGTGCCTGAGAAATGGGTCTCAGGCTCTGGAGCAGCCACAGTAGAAGTAGCTTTACCTGACCTGAGGGATGCCTGGCCTAACTGTGTGCTGGGAGAAGTCACAGAGGTTGATAGTTCTGGGGAGTCTGATGACACAGTCATAGAGGATGTCACAGCAGATCCGTCATTTGAGACCAACAAAATTCTGCCTGAAAAACCTGACTCCCTTTCTGGTACTGATGCAAAAATAAGTGCAAGGGATATCAAAGAGACTCCCACTTGTGAAACTGTGAGGAGTGAAATGTGTGAAAACTCAGAAGAGCCAAGCAGTGCCTCTGAGCTGCTTCAGGCCCAGCCAAAAACTTCTCATAGAAGGAGTCTGGAAGGTGAGGTGTGCTCACAAGTACCTAATACTCTGAATGAAGTTGCACCTGAAAAGCCTGCTATGGCTGACAACCCCAAAGTTCCTTCAACAGCACCTCCAAATGTTCTTAGTGAGACAGGATCCCCACTGACTGTGACAGCTTCTGCCAACTTGGAGTCTTTGCTTGGAAAATATGTTGACGATACAGATGGCTCCTCCCCAGAGGACTTGCTGGCTGCATTCACAGGAGCCAGGGAAAAAGGACTCATGGGTAAAGATCATAGCAGCTTGGAAGCAGTGTTAGAGAAGACAGCAGACTTTAAAAATGCTTTGCCTATGGAACTCTTGCATGAACGTGAACTAGGTGGTTCTGAAACCAAATACAGTGAACACAGCAAAGAAACAAATGGCGGTGAGCTGAGTGCACTCTCTCCTCAAGGTGCCCTCCGGGTGTCTCCTGACTTAGAGCAGGAACAGCTCACCATAAGAGCCATTAAAGAATTAGGAGAAAGGCAGGCTGAGCAGGTGCAGGCTGAAGTAGCAGCTCCTGGAGGAAAACTCAAGCAAACCTTTGCTCCACAACCTTGGCCACAGAGGTCATCTGACATCCTAGAATACACAGATACTGAGACTGCATCTGATTTGGGGATTGCCAAAAAGCCCTCTATCATCAATGACACTAGAGTAGATCCTATTTCCAGCCTTAGCAAGACTGAAACGGTTAACAAGCATGTCCTAGCAAGACTTCTGTCTGACTTCTCAGGTAACCATTTACACCAGAAATTCTGCATGTGGTTAATTCTGCTGTGATTATCATTCTGCTTTGTGCCCTGTACATAAAAGCACCTTTCCCTCTGTGTGTGTGTGTGTGTGTGTGTGTGTGTGTGTGTGTGAGAGAGAGAGAGAGAGCGCGAGAGAGAGAGAGAGAGCGCGAGAGAGAGAGAGAGAGCGCGAGAGAGAGAGAGAGAGCGCACACACGCACGCACGCACGCGCACACACACACACACACTTAGTGATCACTTAACTTGGTATTTCTATACCTGTATTTCCCAAAACCACAGACTACTTGGTAACACTGACCATCTGAGTTTTTAATGTTTCTGTTCTGTGGCAAGGTTCTTTCTTTACATGTGGCCTAAGTGTGGCTGCTGCCTTTAAAAATATCACTACATTCTTAGTTACTGGTTTTTGATTTTGTGGTTTTGTTTTGAGACAGGGTTACCCAAGCTGGCCTGGAACTGACTGTGTAGCTCAGGCTATTGAACTCCTTCAGTCCTCCTGCTTCAGCCTCTCAAGTGCTAGGATTACAGCTCAGTCTGTGTCTTATTTTCAAAGTTTAGTTGTTGTTGTTTTTTTTAAATCTCTGTGATGGTTAATATTTGATGGGTATTTGGATTTTTCCTTAATAGGGGACTTGTAAATTTTAATTAGTTATCAAAGATGAAAGAATTCCTGTAGGGAAACTCAGTAAATGTAACTTTTAATTAATTTACTGTATCCCACAGAGGGTTTATGCTCTAAAAGTAGGTGACTATTATTATAGTGCTCTTTTGGAGTAATACTTAAGAGAAACTCATTCATTCTTATACTTTGGACCTACTAAATAGTCTTCAGACAACAGAACATTTGACAGTACTAGAAAGTCCTTCTTTGTCACCTGTTTATTTGAAATGATCCCTTTTCTAGCAGTTGGCTTCCAGTAAAATGGTTTTGAATGCTGTTTGTCTCACAGAGTATTATTAGTTACTTTCTATTGCTATGAGGAGATACCATAACCAAGGCAACTTACAAAAGAAAGTATTTAAGAAGGGCTTGCTTACAGTTTCAGAGAATATGAATCCATGACTATCATGGTGAAGAGCATAGTGGCAAGCAGGCAGGCATGGCTCTGGAACAGTAGCTGATACACAAACAGGAAACAGAGAGCCAACCAGGGTGGCATGGGCTTTTGAAACTTCAAAGCCCACCCTCAGTGACAGATCTCCACCAACAAGGTCATACCTATTAGTGCTTATCAAAACAGTTCTACCAACTAGGGACCAAGCAAAATATATGAGTCTGTGGGGGTCAATTTCATTTAAACCACCACAGAAAGTTTAAGGGGGGAAAAGCGTATTTTAAAGCTCTGTACACAGCCAACCTTGTGACTCATGCGTGTAATCCTAGCACTCAGAATGCTGAAGTAGGAATATTGCTTTGAATTCAAGGTTAGCCTGGGCTACACATTAAGAACCTATTTCCAAAAATAAAGCCAAAGATCACAAAACAATCTGATACCCAAGCTTTTTACCCTTACTGCTTAGTCATTATTAGGTGCTGTATAGACTAGAATAGTTTTTAAACTTTTTTGATGCTTGATTCTTGTTTTCAAATGAAGACATACTTAAAATTGTAGTATTTACAACAAAATTAAGATTTTGGTCAGGCATGATGGTGCACACGTATAATCTTCACACCTGGGAGGTGGAAACAGGTATTCAGTCATCCTTGGATGCATGAAATTGTCTTGGATGGGGGCATAGGGAGAGAGGGAGTTGTGTTTAAAATAAACTTTGATGTCTAATTTTCCTGTGAATGTATTTCCTTATTAAAGACCATGAGCAGCAGGCACTGATAGCACATGCCGTTAATCCCAGCACTCTAGAGGCAGAACCAGGCAGATCTCTGAGTTCTAGGACAGCCTGGTCTACATGGTGAATTCCAGGACAGCCAGGACTATAGAAAGCCTATCAGAAAAACAACAATAAACCCTAATTTTGTGTGTGGATGCATGTATCATTTTATGTGTTTGGGTGTTTGTCTGCATATATATTTGTGTACCATATGCATGCCTGGTGCTCAAGGAGGCCAGAAGAGGACCCCTTGGCACTGGAGTAGGAAAATGGTTGTGAGCCACCATGTGGGTGCTGGGAATCAAACCCAGGTCCTCTGGAAGAGTAGCCAAGTGTTATTAACCACTGAGCCATCTCTCTAGTCCCATAAGTTTGTATTTTTTAAAAATGTATGTATTTTAGGTTTTTTGTCTCTCCATAGTCTTATTCTCTCTCTTGTTTGCTCACTGTGTGTGTGTGTGTGTGTGTGTGTGTGTGTGTGTGTGTGTGTGTGTGTGTGTGAGAGAGAGAGAGAGAGAGAGAGAGAGAGAGAGAGAGAGAAACTTGCACACACATGCATCAGAGGGCAGCTTGAAGCAACCAGTTTTCTCACTCTATGCTAGGGATAAAACTCAAGTTGTCAGATATGGCAACAAGCATCTTTACCCACTAAACAATCTCTCTAGCCTTATTTATGTAGTTTTAATTGGTTGGGGATTAGGGAGCAGAGATTAAATTCAAGGTCCCATGCTTTCCAGACAAGTACAGTGTCACTGAGCTACATCCCCACCTCCCCAAATCTGATAACTAAAGATAGCAATTGTACTCTAGAAATTGGAGAGTCTAATGGAGGAGTGTTGGGTTCTAACTCTTGCTTTACTGTGAATAGAATGTAGCTTTGAACAATTAACTCATAACTGTTTGGAGGTTCAAGGGCTTACCTGTAAATGAAAACATTGAAAATGATTTGCTGCTCCAATGATACATTGGAGATACCTTTTAGATTCTTCCTGGGTTGTAATGGATCTCACAGATAGTTACTTTTGAATGATGAGGCATACAGAAATTAGGTCATAAAGCCTCCTGTCTAATTTTGCCATTTTTAGACTTTAATGTGACCTTAGACAACAAGCCTGACTGGTTCAGCATCTTCCTGTAGTAATGAGGTGATGGTAATAATTTTGCCATGTTTTATAGTGTTGCTATAAGTAAAGAACCTTGTAAATAGTAATTATTGGTAATTCCCAGCCTGAGATATTTCATCTAGAATGACAGATGAAAAGAACTGTGGAAGTTAAAGGTATTTCTCACTGATCACACTCTGTTATTGATAAATATTTTAGTTAAGGCAGATTAACATATATATAGTTAGAAGCTTAAAGATTATGCTTTACAAATTTAAAAATTAAAAACAATATCAGTTATTTTATGACCATATTTTTAAAGATGTAAACCATTCTGGTAAAATGCATCAACTTCTTGTTTTCACATGACACGCACACATAATTACAAATAAAATGTTTAAGAACTTATTTATGTACTTTATGTATCTGAGCACTCCATCTTCATGTACTCCTGTATGCCAGAAGAAGGAATGGAATCCCATTGTAGATGGTTGTGAGCCACCATGTGATTCCTGAGAATTGAACTTAGACCTCTGGAAGAACAGCCAGTACTCTTAACAACTGAGCTATCCTCCAGCCCTAGAAATAAAATCTTCAGATTAAAAAAAATTTTAAGTCATGCTGGGCGTTGGTGGCGCGCGCCTTTAATCCCAGCACTGGGGAGGCAGAGGCAGGCGGATCTCTGAGTTCGAGGCCAGCCGAGTCTCCAGAGCGAGTGCCAGGATAGGCTCCAAAGCTACACAGAAAAACCCTGTCTTGAAAAACAAAACAAAAAATTTAAAGTCATGTTTGGTTTTTTATTATAGCCAGGTAGGCTTCTATTGGACCCAGTCTTCCTGCACATGACTATACTTTGAACAAAAAAAAAAAATTTAATTAAAAGAAAAAGGTCTGAAGGCAATGTAGAACATACAGAAACAAGCAGATCTGAAAGGGTTAAAACTTAATAAGAAGGAATGGAGTGAGTATATTTGAACAATTAAATTCAGCACACTTCTACTGCTTTTAGCCAGAAAAGCAGGCTGAAAGTTGGGGCCTGACAGTTCAAGAAGACTGGGAGAAGATAATTTAAGTCATTCTCAATGACTACAAGTTAAAAGGGAAGAAGGATCTGGAAAAGAGAGATCCAGAGGATGAAAGCCTAAATTCTTTCTGTAATCTCTGTGTAACCTTCTTTCTAATCTCTGACTTGTGTGCATGAGAGAATCCAGGCAAACCATCTAAAGACAAAAGAACTGAGCTGTGACTTGATCTTCTGTACCAGAGACAAGAGTTTGCACATTGAGTTTAACGATAGCATGCTTAAAGCAATCCCCCAAATTGAATACTCTACAGGGTTCGGTGGTTGTGAGCACTTTCTGCTATTGCAGAGGGCTCAGGTTTGGTTTCTGGCCTCCTTTGGCATCTGCACTCATTTGATGCACATACAAACAAGCAGGCACACACACACACACACACACACACATGAAATAAAATTTAATTATTTATTTGTGGTGGGGATGTTGACACAGGGTTTCTCAATGTAGTCTGGCTGTTCTGGAGCTCTCTATGACCTTGAACTTACAGAAATCCATCTGCCTCCTGAGTGCTGAGATTAAAGGTATCCAGCTAAATATTTTTTTTTTTTTAATTCGTACTGTCTAGAGGACTGTAACAAAGTAAGTACACCAGCTGTAAAACATGTTAGTTGTAGTGTTTAGAATGGAACCCAAACTAACTTTTTAAAAACCAGAAAAGTATAATCCAGTCTGGAGAAAAGTTGGTATGTTTGAATTAAATCAAGGCTATCCTGGCCTATATAGTAAGGTCCAGGAAGCCAGTTACATAGTGAGACCCTGGAGAAGGGAGAAAGGTTATTACAGCCACCCAACAAAGTGAAGGGAAATGTTTGTGTTGAATGAAAATGAAGGAAATTTCAGCCTTAAAATAGAAACAAAAATAGCCTAGAGGAAACACTAGAACATCTGAAGTTTGAAAATCACTAAGTGACCTTAATAGCAAAATGGAGATGATGGAGGAATTCGATGATAAACAGGGAATTAACACATCCTGACAAACAAGGGAGAAAAAAAATACCACTAGAAATTCAAGCATCTGTGGAATAATCAAAAGATTGAACAATAGGATTCCCACAGCAAACCAGAGAACTGTTGGAAGATAAAATGATCACAGGCTTCTTAGTGTATGAAAAAAATCAACGGACTGGAGAAGTGG